CAAAAGAAAATGTTATAACCCTACCATTCTTCCCGTCCCATATAATACCAAAGGTTTTGTATAATATATCGTCGCAATCACAGAAGAATAAGAATAGGAGAAAGAGTCCCTTTTTTGGCTCTCGTTTTCTGTTCCCTTTCTTTTTCTGTTCTTGTTATTATTTTTACTAAATTCTAGTTTTATTTTTCCAAGATAAAGTGTGTCCACTTCGATTGTTTTTGACAATTTAATTGTTAAAAAGTAATTATAAAAGAAGGGTTTAATATTTCTTTATGTTAAAGAAAATAAATTTATTTCCTACAAACACATAAAAATATATAAAATTCATGCAAGCACATCCGTATATATAAGAAGAAGAGAGAGAAATAAAAAATATGAGTCTCCTATATTTTTTGTAAGATATAAATTTATCTCATATAATATAAGTAACATTACATTCATAAAAAAATGGGTATTAAAGTTATAAATATTCTTTTTAAAATATATTAATATTTTATTTGTAAAGTCGAATTTCTAAAGCTTTAATTGTGTCAAAATTATATCTAAATCAAAATTACGAAAGCCTTTTTTGTTCTCTTGGGTACATCAATTTTGCTTACGTAGAAGGAATGAAAACTTTGAAGAAGAGAAGTCCCATTTGACTTATGATTTTTTTTTCGTATATACATAATTATTTAAGTTTGTAGCCTCTCAAACATAACACAATTCTTATATTGTATGATAATTAAATTATTTAACATAAATATTTTGTCTTTAATTTCAAACTCTTAAGATTAAAATTATGTCTATACCTTCCTGCTGTAGGTGTTTGTTTCGGTTCCAAATTGAATTATAAAATCCAGTTTTTGACGTTCAACCAAAAGAGGGTCAGAGAACTTTCCCTTAGGAGCCTCAATTATTAGCCCGTCAATTACGAGGCATTCTTTCCATCAAAGTCTGCTTGGATTTGGTGTCGTCTCACAGAAAAAAAAAAATCAATAAAAATAAAACAATAACAATAATACAAATCCTTCGAATAGATGGTCTACGGTATTGTATATATTATATGATAACTAAATAAATAATACATATTTAATTATCAAAAGATAAATATTTGGGTTTATGTGATATGTATTTTACAGTTATTTTATTATACTTATTGTCTTGTTTCAGAGTAAGATTGAAATAATTTAATAAAATTCTCCAAAACGTATTTCACAATGTCATTCTTCTTTTCTTCATTCTATTTCATTTTTCAATTATAATTAGATGTTATCCAGGTCATCAGACCAACTTGGACGCACATTGTTCAATTCTCTGTTCTTGATTAGCTATATTCTCTCTGATAGAATCTCCAAGCAACTGAAGTTTAAAACAAAATAGAAAAAATATTCAATTTATTAGAACCTAAATTTACATTTTCACTGGATCTTATACTCGTCACTTTTTTTTCATTTATTTCTAATGTGAGGCCTTTTTTTCTCTCACTTCACATTTCTTTCCCAAGTCACAACTCATACTCAAATTTCAAACAAAGCTTGCATTGCCTTTTTATTTTAATTTGATAATTAACAAAATATACAAATATATTTAACACGCAGAATAATTCAACATTACAAGAGTTTTTCTCTAGCAAACTCTGAGGTGCACTCAACCTTCAATATCTCAGGAACATAGTGGCAAATATGATATGCTGAAAGAAATTTTAAGAATGATTGAAAGCATAATCAAGAAATACGAGACACTCCCATAGTCGGTCTCATGTGTTGGAATATATACCCCCACTATCATACAACTGTATCTTCCTTTCTTTTTAGCAATAGAAAGACACCATAGGACATTAGAATAGCTAATTTGTTCAACCGACTATAGTTTTTACCCAGCTACTTTTATCGAGCATATTTAAGGGATCAGTGTTTATCACATTTTAAGAGATAATTTTAGCTTTTATACATATATGAAAATATGTGAAATTCATATTTTTTTTCTCTCTTCTTCTCATATGGAGTTATAGACCCACATAAATTCCACACGCTTTCATGTGTATGTAAAAAATAAAATTATCTATTGTAACATGAAAAATATTAATCCCCATATTAAACAATAAGGGTTTTTTTGACCCTTTTGCCCCTCATTAATTAATTAATAACTATTTTTCCCCTGATTCAAAACTATTCACCAATCTGCTCCTCTTTAATCGATTAACTTAAATATTTAATCGATTAAATGGTTGACTCGAGATTTAATCAATTATATCTCCCTATTTAATCGATTAAAAAATTATATTGACTTGTTTTTCTTTGTTACCTATTGAAAGATTTAATCGATTAAATAAGGAGATTTAATTGATTAAATCTCCCAACAATCATTTTTTGCTATTTTGACCATTTAATCGATTAAATATTCAAGTTAATCGATTAAAGAGGGACAGATTGATGAATAATTTTGAATCAAGAACAAAATAGTTATTAATTAATTAATTAGGGACAAAAAGGTGAAAAAGCCAAACAATAGGATTTAAAGAATGAACAATGACAATCAGGTAGCATTCGGTTGCAACTTTTACGAGTTTCTGCTCCATTCAATGATGCTGTGTTATTCCCAACTAGAGGTGGCAAAACGGGCCAACCCGTCCCGACCCGCCCCGACCCGCCTTCAACCCGCCAAAAGCGGGGCGGGGCGGGTTGACCCGCCGTTTGATGGTGGGTTGGAAACATCAACCCACCCCGTTTTGAGGTGGGTTGGCGGGTTGGCGGGTCAACCCGCTTAAAAAACAAAAAATAATAATAAATAATAATTATTAATTTTATAATATTACTTATTTTTATTTCATATTTCCCTTAATTTTTTTCAATCTCAAGCCTAAATATACGCTAATATTCAGTCAAATATTTTTTAAAAACTTAATTTTGCCTCTATATATGGATAATCTTTGTCATAAGTAAAGTTTTTTTTCTTTATTTTTCTAGGGGAGTACTAAAATAAAAAAAATGTATATCACAAAAGCTTAGTGACAATAAAATACTACCTAATAGTAAAAAAAAAAAAAAAAAAAAAAAAAAAAAAAAAAACCCGCGGGCCAACCCGACCTGACCCGCCACCAACCCATTTTAACCCACTACTAAACGGGGCGGGTTGAGGTGGGTTGGTGGGTTGAAAAGTGTAACCCAACCCGCCCCGTTTTGGCGGGTTGGCGGGTTGACCCGTCGGGTTAAACCCATATTGCCACCTCTATTCCCAACTACGCTTTTGCATTGAATTTTTTAATCTTTAGGTAGTGTTTGGTTAAAAGTTTATTTTGGAATTGATGGGAAAGTGTAAGTGCATATTGAAAAATACCACGTTTGATTCAGATTTTTTTCGAAAAATACTAAGCAAATAGGATAGATGAAAAAATGACTTTTGTGTTAATTTTTGGATGAAATTCACTGTTACAGAATACCACTTGAGATGTATTTTGAGATAACTGGAGAAGTGAAAAAACAGATGCACAATTTCTCCCGAACATAGATTTTTAAATAAATTGCCCTGATAATATTTCGATCAACCAAACAACTTTTTCTATATTTTCCTACCAAACTCACTTTCCAACCATTTTCCTATCAATTACATTTCCCTAGTAAAAAAAAATTTCTCCCGAACCAAACACTACCTTAGTTTTGGGAGTTGCGAGGTAAAGGGAAATGTTTAAGATTGTATTTTTCCTTTGGCTTATAGCCGATGATCTTATAGAAAAATACACCAATAAGTTGACTACTTGCAACTTGCTTAAAAGGTTATTTGACAAAATTGTTAACTACAAAATTAATTCCTCAAAACAACAGAAATCATGCGGAAGTAAGAGTTTATTAAATAAAATAAAATAAAAAATAAAATAAAATCTTAAACTTGCAAAACATAGTTTTGAAAAATTCTACTTCCACAACATTTAATTCAAAACAAGCCTCTGTACCCCTAACAAAATAAATAAAAATTCTAAGGATAACCACTTATGTATATGCCTATCTTCGTTCAGGTGTAGTTTTGTTATGAAATTCAACTAAAAATGCTTTAAGCAATTGTGAAAAATTGGAATGCCAAAATTCTAAGATATTGTGGCATGCCAAAATTCTAAGATTTTGGCATGCCAAATAACTCAATAAAAACTTCTTTACTTTTTTAAATGGTAAAGACCACCAACATAAATTGAACCAACAACTTTCCATTTACATGTATGAAAAAGGGGATGGAATATAGCTGAACTCCACTATCAAAAGAGAAATACGAAGATTTTTAGAGACAAGTCGAGAAGATATTGTGAACATGTTTGGCGATATTGAAATGTAATATGAAGTTAGATTACTGGGGGGCCTCATAATCATTCCAAAACCAAATACGGGGGCTTCCTTCGAACACAGAATAGGCCTCCACCAACTGATGGGAGAAACATAAAACTAGCAGCCATAGCTAGCTTATAATAAGAAAGCAACCAGGGTGGAAAGATAAACAGTACAAGAAATGGCAGTGGTGATGTTGATGGTTGGAGCATGCAAGGCCACATAATTTCGCCTTTGGTATTATATGGGATGTAGGATTGTGCAGAATAACCGAACCGAACCAATCTATATTTTTCTGAACCAGCTTTAAGAACTAAACTATTTTATAAACCAGTTTAAAAATTGAACCGAACCAAAAGAATCGGTTGGAAAATGGATTCAAAACCAATTTAGAATTGGTTTGCATATCCAAGTGGGTTATGAGCCGATTCAGAACCAATTACAAATCATAAATTGGTTTTAAAACACGAACAGGTTTGGATTAAATAAAACAGTTCAGTTCTTTGAACCGCACCGGTTAAGGGACAAAACAGGAGTTGGCCATCACAATAGAAAAAGCCACTACTGCTTATGGCATAGTAAAGAGCAAAAGTATATATACACAATTGCAGACAGCCAAATAAACAACTCATGACTAACACAGGCTCAGTAATATGCTTTAAATAAACTATAAACTCCAGACGATAGAAACATCCAACCATAAAATTCTGTAATTGCAAGATCAACGCATCATAAATTAAGCCTTCAAGATCCTCCAAGTGCCATCCAACTCTATAAGCTGACAAAGATACCATACTGCAAGACTTAAAGGACAAAAGTAACAACTAAATGCCACGGATACCTTAAAATATGTCTGTTTCTATGTATGTATATATGTAAATATATCACTGAGCAGCAATCAACCCCAGAAACATGGAAGGATGATTCAGGGCATAGAAGTACGAGGAGCTCGAGATCGGACTGGTGTCTTTGATGGACTTACCCTGCATACCAAACATAAAAATGGTTGAAGAAACATTATAAGGGTTCCCTAAATTTTTAAGATAGTAGAAATCAAAGGAGTCGATCCAACCTTATAGGCAGTGAACCCAAAACCACACCACTACAGCTCAGAGCTGCAATTGCACTCTCAGCCTGCAAGAATGAGGCAAATAATCTCAGATGGCCAATATCGAAAACTTTTATCATCCTTCTTGCAATATGACATTTTATTAGGGGAGCGAACATTACGACCACACTGGCAAAGAACAACTCCATAGATGTATTTTACAAAAAGAGAGAATTTGAAACGAATGGAGCCGAGATGGTAAACTACAAAGGTAAACGACACAACATGTTATTGTGTGAGAGCTTTATTGCATTCAACAAAATAAACAGCAAAAATAGGAACAAAACACTTTTGAACATTGCCAAAAGTTGACAACGAAAAAGATGCCGGGGGGGTGGGGGGGTTGTGCAACCAACAAATCCAAAAAATATGCAAGCTACTCAGGGTCACTAACCCGGATGAACAGCAGAAGGATGAGTATGGTTCTATTAAAGGGAAACCAAGTTTTAATATTTGGATGTGTGAGGGTTGTGGGGAAGTGATTTTATAGTAGAAGTCTTTTACAAAATTATCTATGCAAACTGAAATTCATCATAATAAAATATTCATTGTGTTTAAATTGTTAAGTTCAAAACAAGTTCCAACGAGCTTAATAGCTCCACCACTTCAAACTAAGGAAGCCCAAGCATGGGTGACTATAATGGAAGACAAACCAACACGGTTGAAACAAGAGTCCCATAACGTGATTCCTGAAAATCAAATTGTACCTTATTAAGCCTAAGTACTACTTCCCTTTCATGGCCCAAAGTGAGCCGTCATAAGGAATCCATGGATGAAAAAAGCAAGGCAAAGTCATTCATAATATTTGATCCAGATCTTTTACGAGAGATTTACTGTTCTCCCTGTTTTGTTTCACAAACAATAGCATATAAGGGCAAACCCTGGTGTACAAGGCTCCCCAACTTTGATGGTCGATTGTACACAGCCTAGGCTATTTTCTATACTCAAACCCGTGACCTGGTCACAAAGGAGCATCTGTGCCGCTGCTCCAAGGCTCTCCCTATTTTGTTCTACAAACAATAGCAGTATACGGAATTTAAAAAGAAAAAGACATTAGAAAGAGAGAAAGAGAAAGTGGGAGAATTCCTTCTTTTTAAATAGTAAGTATTGTTTTACTAATATACACATAAATTTAAATTATTTTAAAAATATGAATGGGTGTTTTTTGTCCTAAAAGATAAGTTGTAGTAGCCTGATAAGTGCTAAATACTCCTAAAGAAAAAGTAGGAGGATCTTAGCAGCTCCATTCATACACACACACATAGCTTCTGTCATCCAAATAACACATCATCAAGATTCATTTCTCTTTTCTCTTGATTCTTTTTCTTCAAATGAAGAACTCTTGAGATGAGTGTGGGCCTATTACTACAGAAGTATGAAACACAATTATTGAGATGAGTGTGCCACAAAAAATACAAACAAAATGTAATTTTTTTTAAGGGTGGTGGAAATAACTGCATCAATGCAAAGCCAGCAGTAGCACTCAATCCGAGCATTATAACTTCACAAAGAGATAGAGAATGTACAAAATAGCTAACTAAACCAGAGTTGAGTCAGATGAAAATAAGACAGTTGGAAAGTTAACAATTACCATTGTGAACTCAACAAATGCAATTCGAGTTGAATGATGGTAGTCCCCAAGAAGCCTCAACCTTTGAACCTAGATTAATCAACCAAAAAGATGGGAAATATCTCACAAGATACTTAAATTCAAACAACGACAAACAATCAAGCACTGTCTCTAAATACACCAAAATAAAGCCAAAAACATCTCATAATATGCATAAATTCAACCAACAATAAACACTATAAGCCTGGTTCCACGAAAAGCTACAAACCTCTCCACAAATACATTCAAAGAAGTGTTTCACATCTGCTTGTGTAAGCTGCAGCAGTAACAAGAAAAGAAATTTTAAGAATTATGAGCCTCCATTGCTGCAAAACAGACATTGAATAAGACCAAGTAGTTCCTCTGAGCATGTTCTAAGAGTCAAATCCCACACTACCTTCTTGTCGATGTTTGTGCAATAAATTGTTCTTGAGCACATCTCCCTTTCATCTTCAGACTGAGAAATATAGCAACATTAGAAATGTAAGACAGAAAAGAGATACATTATTTGCTCACTCTGGTTAATCATCTTCTAAAACATGTACTAGGCATCTCTCAAGGAAAATTATTACCCTGGGCAAAAATGTAGGATTAACAGGTGCAATGGCAGTTTTTGAAGGTAGCACTCTCAATGGATAATATCCAAGCATGGTTCCAGACAGGTTCAAAGCAGCATTTGCACTTTCTGCAGGCATAACACTGTTAATACAGTGAAATGTCATTACTAATTACAGCATATGAACACCATATATTAGATGGTACCTTCATCTGTAAACTCAATGAAGGCAAACCGAAGAATAGAGTTAGGATCCCCACATACACGGCAATCAACAACCTATGACCACGAAAAAGGAGCTGGTTTAGTAACATGGTCCACCAATATTAAGAAGAGAACAAACATTTTAAACAAAATATAACCCTTGCTACCTGGCCACAATTAAGAAAGAGACCTGCCAGCTGCTCTTCGGTAACCTAGAAGCCAACAGATAACAACAATCCTTAAACATTGCAAGCTAGCTGAAATGAGAGAAGAATCCAAAAGAATGCTAAAATTTGTACCAGTTGATCAATGTCAGACACATAAACCGTCCTACGAATCATCTCTTCCCTATTCTCCACATCCATTTTATTGTTCACCCTTCGCTTCCCAGGATTATAGCCATTCTTCCTCTGTAAACACGTTAGTATTGTATTAAGAAAAGGTGAAACCTTTATGCAAGTAACATAGCATTAGGTAAGAATCAAAAGAAATTAAAACAATTTAATCATACCCTTCTGTTAGTTTGCCCATTATCATTGCCATAATTATCATGGAGCATAAAATTGTTAGCGTAACCAAACCCAGCACCAGGTCCAGCTAAGTAGCCATGATTATTTGTTAGTGATGTGGCCCATGTGGGAACAAATTCCTCAGCCATGGGATTCAACTTTGACAAAAGTTCTTCCAAATCCCTCATCTCACGCTTGAAAGACTCGTTCCCGTTCTCCCCATTTCCAACCCCGTTAGTCCCATACCCTTCATTATTCACCACCAATTGCTGGTTCTGAACCCCATTTGCGAGCATCTGACCCATTTGAGCGTTGTAGTTGTAATTACTGTTAGAAACTGATATATTGCTCGGAACTCCATTTTGGTGTTGATGGTTTAAAACACCGTCCAGATTCTGATCGCTTCTGGTTTTCAATTTCTCCACCTCGTTTGAGTCAGCTGACACTACACCACCGCTGTTCGAATTTTGACCCGAAGACCCGATTTTTGCCCCACCATTCTCAGCAACAGCCATGATCACTTGTGTACAGATAAAAAGGTCTTACCTTTCTCTTTTTTTTCTCAGCTTTCAGATTTCTCTGTGAATCTGTATGAAGACATTGAACTAATAAAAATAAAAATACCTAAAAATAAGAAATGACTCAGAAAACCATATTTGAAAAAGAAAGCACACCTGGGTTTTATCTAAAAAAACTCCATTGACATAAGATCAAGCTGATCCTGAAATTTTAGAGGTACAACTACTTTAAAACCCCAGAAAATAAATGAAAGAAATTGATGGAATATAAAAAAAAAGAGCTTTATCTTACAGATTTACTGTAGAAGAAGAAGGTGATGATGATTATTGTAGAAAAGGATAAAAGGGTTATTCTTCGGATCGTCTGTTTTCGCTGCACTGACTTTCTTTTTGGAACTTGTTAAGAAGAACGTCCCAGTTTGATGTCTTTGATATGATGGTGAATGGTGATGAATGTAATGTAAATGTATTAAAGGAAAAATATTAAAAATGAACAGCCACTGACCCTACTTTTTCATTAATTTTCATAACTGCCCATTTCACACATGTCACCACACCACCACACATATCTCAGTACATCAGACTTTTTCATTTTAGAAGGATAAATCAAAGCAAACGTAGGCTAGTTATGGATTTTGGTCTTTTAACCCATTTCTTGTAAAATTTGAAAAAAAATTATTGGATTAATGTAAAATTAAAATATTTTATGAAAATAATGCGATATGAAATACTTATAAATCGTGCCTTCATTTATTCCATATATTAATCTAATACAAAGTTTTGAAATTATTTTTATTAAAATTAAAAGGCCATGGATTTGATATTCAAAACCGGAGTTAGTGATTCATTTACCTCAACTAAGAAGAAATAAAAAAAGAGACCGTAAGAAATTAAATTCTTATCACATAATTACCTCGATTATTAATAGAAGGGAAACTAATAATATAAAATTAGTAAAAATTGTTAGATTGTTAATGTTTGTCTCGGTTAATAATTTCTAATTACTATATCTTATTAAATACTTGGAAAAAAAAAATTATGCCTGATCAATATAATTTACCTACATTGATAAAAAAATTATCCACCACTATGATGAAGACTTATATTCATTAATACGAAAATATCATATTATATGAGATAAAAATATAAAAATAATAATTATAATAAATTTTATAATTATTTATGTAAGATTCATTAATTTTGTTTTCCTCCCTTTCTCTTTAATGAACAACCATTTTATGATAAAATTTCTCATGTTATAAGAGATAAATATTTCCTACTATGGACACGTGATATGGTGGGATCCACCACTCATTAGAAAAAAAAATGATGGCATTATTTTTTATGTGAGGAGAAAATGAAATAGTAATCTCAAATTATCTCATGTAAAATGAAAGAATGATTTTTCTTTTTATATTTTAGGAGATAAATTTATCTCCGACACATACATTAAAGTGAGAGAGGCCCATATTTTTTCTTTCTTTCTCTTTTCCTCACATGGGCTTACATGGGTCACACATATTTTTATATGTATAGGAGATAAATTTATCTCCTACAACATGAGAAACATTAAACTTTTTATAATAATAATATAAGAGAATATGGATTTATCAAAAAAATTATCTTTATAGGGTCTAGCAATTTAAATTTAGTTCCCATATTTCTTTTTTCAATTTAGGACTTATATTTACGTACATTTTCAAAATAGTACTGACACTATCATGTATGATACATTATAGGTTGAAGCATTTCGTGTAACTAACTTTTATTAATATGAACAACCCTTTATCTCACTTGAATATGTGGAATCTAAGTGGCTTTCATTGATAATTGAAATTATCACAAAAGTAGAAGCTAAGCATGATATGTGTGGTATCAATAGTAAAGAACTATTATTAACTCATAATTATTGGTTCATGTGGTAAAGAGTTTGTTCTCTTAATTAGAAGTTAGGGTTCAAATCTTTGAAATGAAAAAAAAAAAAAAAACAGTATTTAGAGAATTGTCCTGGATATGGATCTCACATTACTCGAATTGGATTAAATCATTTGGACATAAAAAATATCATTATCCATAGTTTATAAATTTAATGCAAAGTTATAAATTATGAGTTAAATTTGAGTGAAGATCATAATTTTCTTTTTGAACTGAAAATAAATTCCATTAATTGGCAATATCAGCTTCCGGAGAATAATAAAGTTTGGCGGAGAGTTAATCCAATCACCAACGCCATTAGTTTGGGGAAATTGGGCATCAGCATCAGACACTACATTAAAGTGTTTAGGAATATAATGACACGAGAAATTATCAAACCGATAGGCATATGAACAAATATCCCTAAGAATGGTTCCATAGTAAGACAAATTATCACCCGGCCCCATTCAAAATATAAGCATATACCCTATTGCATCACCTTTCAATGTGATGTTTCTGGAGCCCAACTCCCAAATTAGAAGAAGCCTAATCTTGGTTGTCATGGGTTACAAGTAGCGATATAAATGAGTTAGGTTGATCTATATGGCCCTACAATTTAGTCTATATTAGGTTAGATTTAGCCTATTAAATATAGTTAAACAGAACAAGTTTAGATTTTTAAAAAAACTTATTTAAAAAATAAATCATAGGCTTTCTTTTACATACCGGACCTATAAGTTTACTGATCAAGTTATGTTATATTGTTTATTTTAAATAAAATAAATAAAATTATTATTTTAATAATAAAGTAATATTATTTTAATTAATTTTTATTTTTGAATGTTTAATAAGTTTATACAGGCTAATAGGCTTAGGTCAAAACTTTTTTTTTTAAAATATAGGTCAGGTTAGATTTATAATTTAGGTCTATATAAGACTAATAGATCATATTAGACCTAAAAAAATTTATACAGACCTAAGCTATTTAAGTCAAAGTTTAGCTTATCCTAAGCTAACGTATTTATTCCATACACCTTCCAAGCAAGCTGCTTTTCTAGCAATTATGAATGAACTTCTGTCCATAATTCATCATCATCATCATCATTAATCTTCAGGTTTCTGCCACATCAATGAAGCTGCTGCTATATAGGAGCAGCATCAAATATGGGAGCCATGCAAGCTAGCTAGAATGCTTTGAAGTAGTGATGCAGTGTCTAGTGGTAGTATTAATTGTAAATTTTTCTCAACTAGTGTCTCTTCTCAGAATTGATAATAATTATGGGAAAATATGTGTTCTTTTAAAGGATAAATTTAGATTCTTTTAAGAGAGATATAAAAAGATGTGGGTTCCATTGAAAAATAAATGTGTGGGTTTCAACTCTTTATGTCTATCTCTCTCTTAGAAAGACCTAAGTTTGTGTCCTTTAAAAGGAAATACATTTTTCTCAATAATTATATATCACATGATTTTATTTTTTTTATAATAATGACACTTTAAATTTATAATTTCACGTAAACTATTCAAATTCCTTATCATTATATCATTCCTAATGACTTATCAATAAATTACTCTTGCATATATAATATAGGTACTAAAAAAATCTTGCATATACAATAGAATATAATTAAATGTAAAAATATTTATTGAAGTTATTAATATAATTTTTCGTGCATTCAAAAGATAAATTTTTTATGTATATGGAATTGAGGAGAATTTTTGGGTTGATTTTTGTTAATGAGGAGAGCAAATTGATATTCTTGTTCTTTTTTTTTTTAAATTTGTTTAATTTCTTGACCTATTCATTAGACATTTAATTAATCGGTTTGAGTTTTATCTTGATTCTCTCAAAATTCTTTTATAATTTTTAAGTTCGAACTTAAATCTTTAAATAAGAAAAATAAATATCTTACTATTTGAATAAATATTTATTGACTTTCATCTTTTAAAATTTGTGCTTCTGTGTGCTGTTAAAAATAAACGTAAGAACTTATTTAAAGATCAATAACAAGTCTAAGTTTCCAAAGTTTCAAATAAACATAAATCTTTAAATAAATTTACTATGTACAAATTTGTTTTAACGTTTATAAATAAATATTAAAATTATATATGTAAGAATAAATAAATGCAATTACTTATTAAGCCAAATATATAACTTTAAAAGTATAAACCTAATCTACTTAGTGAAACATTTTTTTTTCAAGAAGGTTAAACAAACATTTTAAGAAGTTTATCTCGTATGATTAATAAATCGAGCCATATTAGTAGGTAAAAAAAATAAGAACATAAATTCCTGATAAGTGGCATGTCTTGCTATTATAGAATTGTGAATTGTGTAGTTTTGAAGAATTTTTAAATTTTATCTATTTTGAGTGACTTCTAAATTCATAAAATGATTATGTTGAGTTATAGGTTTTAAAAAGTTAGTTGTAGTTCTAGATGACTCTTTAATGAGTTAGTGTTTCTCATGTTGTAGAAGATAATTTTATCTCCTATTAATGCTTCCATTATTTTATTTAAATTAAATTTTAACGTTACTAATGATCCTATAGTTTATGGTATCCATATTTAAAAAAAAAAAAAAAAAGAGACATGTACTTAAGTATTGTAGGGTATATATATATATATCAACCTATATTATAATAATGCTTCCATTATTTTATTTAAATTAAATTTTAACGTTACTAATGATCCTATAGTTTATGGTATCCATATTTTTTTTTTAAAAAAAGAGACATGTACTTAAGTATTGTAGGGTGTATATATATATGTGTGTGTGTTACTTCTAAATTTTTATAATCAAACTATAATTTGTATTTTTTTTGGTTAATTTGTTATTTAATATGTAGTGATATTTTATTAAACAAGAAACTGATGACTTAAATATTTATAAAGAAATATCATGAACCAAACTATCGTGTAGAAACACCAAAAAATTTTAGTGATCCTACTCCTATGTGCTCTTTCTATTGAGAGATTGACACTTGTATAATTTTTTTTTTTTTTACTTTATCCTCTCTCCTCTTTCCTGATTAATTGTCACATTTTTATTGATTTGGATCACTTAAGATTTGATGCTCCACGAGCATCAAAACTCTTCTCATAGAAACCTCTAATATTTTCTTTCTATTACTTTTTTATGAATTGAGTTTAAAAAATATTTGGGTTTAGTATTTCTTATATTATAAGAGATGATTTCATTTTCTATATATACATATATACGATGTAATATGAAAATAAGAGAGATAAAAGAGGCCCCTTATATTTTAATGCTTATGAAAAAAATGATTTTTATTTTTATAGTATAATAATGATGGAACTCATAGTTTTTTAATGCAAATATTTTTTTTTATTGTGCATTAAATGGTAACTCTAATAAGTCATGGCTCTGACGAAAGACTTCGAGTACCGCAGAGAAAGGTGCGGCGACTGCACCGTTTTGTTCTGAAAAATAATGTTTAGCATTCCATCCCATCGCATGTAACACCAAAGCGTCATTTCATCGCACATCGTCCCAATC